GGGAGCGTGAAGACGAGCTGAAGGCAGCCCATCCCGATCTCTTCGTCAGTTCTTCCGAATCTCGGGGTCGAGATTCCGTTTAAGGGGGGTAGGTTTGTCGCGTCCCAAAATGACTCTAAAATACATCCTCGAAATTATGCCTAGAATAATTAAAATCCTTGTGAAAGCCTCCCACAATTAAAATGTGCAAAGTTAAAAGTCCAATAAGGCTTGGAGGATTTTTGTATATTTCCTAAAAGCCTAAAATGCGTAAATAAATTTTAGTGGAATTTTCAGAGCACAAATAATAATTATTAAGAAATAAACAAAGTTAAAATGATTTTATAAAAAGAAAAATCCTAAAAAGTCTTTCCCCCCCTCCCCCTCTTGGGCCGGCTCAGCCCATCTCCTTCCCTCTCTCTCCTCCTCCCCGCGGCCCATTCGGCCTCCTCCCCGCGCGCGCGCCGCTGACGAGCGGGCCCGCCCGCCACCCACGCTGACGGGTGGGGCCCACCCGTCATCCCCTTCCTCCCGCCGCTCCCGCCGCCTCGCCCGTGCCCTAGCGCCGCCGCCGCCGCAAATCCCGCCGCTCCCGTCCGCCCCGCGTGCAATCAAGAGGGGGGAAATATTCCCCGTGATTCCCTCCCTCTTTCCCCCCATTTTTCCCTCCCTCTCTCCCTCGGATTCGTTCGGAATCTTTCCCCCTAAACCTCGCCGGCGCATCAATGGCGGCCGGATCTTCCGCGCCCGTTTCCCCCTCATCCGGCCGCCCTCTCTCACTCCCAACCCTATATAAACACTCCCCGTGCCTCCCTCCACCGTTTCCGCCACTCGCCGCTCTCTCTCTCTCCGCCGGAATCGAGCTCGCGTCGTCGCTCTCTCTCTCCGCCGTCACCGCCGAGCTCCGGTCTGCCGCCGTCGTCGCCCCGGACCTTCTCCCGCTTCGGCGCCGCCTCCTTCGGTTTCGCCGCAACCTCGCCGACCTCGTCCACCCCTCCGTTTCGCCCGCCGACCGCCGGAACGCCGCCGTCCCCGTCTACCCGAGCCGCGCCGCCGCCTTCCTCCGCTCCGGTCGCCGTTCCCGTCGTCGCCGTCGACCCGGGGTGAGCTGTGGACCGCCGATTCGTTTCCCCCTTCCCTCCCCTCTCTCGGGCGCCGCTCCGCCGCGCCGGTGGTCGCCGGCGGCGACCATCGGGGCGCGGGTGCGCCGCCTCCCGTCGGCTGTGCCGGCGTGGCCACCTTCGGGCGCGCCCCGCGGCTGCCATGTGGGGCCCGGCCGTCAGCCGCCCGCGCCCTCGGGTGCGGCTGACGCGTGGGACCCACGGCGCCGGCCGGTGTGAGCCGGGAGCACCCGGTCCACCGTGGACCGTGAGGCTGCCGCGTGGGCCCCACTCCCGTGGACCCGGTCCGCGCGCCCCTCCCCTCGGCTGACGCAATAGATCCAAATTTTAAATTAAAATTTAAATGAAGAAATTCGCAAATATTCATTTAAAGAGCATATAACCTTCAAATGGCCATAACTTGGCCATTTGAACTCGGAATTGGACCGTTCAAGTCTCTAATTTTTCCTTAAGAAGTCAAGAACCCATTTTTGTGCTTTGTTTCTGCTTGTTATATGGAGTTTATTAGAGTAAAAGCCTTTTCTTTTCCGTTGGTCGTGTAGACGCTGCAGCTTCGGAAGATCCGCTCTTCGTGGAGGTTGAAGCCGACGTTTGGGAAAGTGAGCAAGGCAAGTCACATCATCTTTGAACATATTGAATCCCAGTTTATAAAATTATGTTGATTTAAATTATTGCATTATCGCTTTATTTAAATTCCCGCGTTATCACTGTTTTGTTTAGCCATGCCTATTTACCTTTGTTATGACCTTATTATTGTTATTGTTATTATTTCCTTGTTCACCCTAGATTAAACAAAACCCCAACTAGTGGACACTCTACTCATGGTACCACTAGTATGATGTTAGGTAGATGCTTCGCTATTTAATTAGGTAACATTAGGCGGTTTTACAACTCTAGACTTTGGGATATTCATATCACCTGGACACTTTGGAATTGTTGGAGTATTGTGGAATTGGATTCACACCGCCCCCTCTATTCAAAATCCCCAAAATGGTTTTAGGCTGGGCTCGGGGTGCATGGTTTTGATAGTAGCACCTCGGCCATATAAGGACCGGTCTTCGGGCCTCTGTTGCAAAGCACTACCGTACTTCCACATGTCTAGTGGGTAAGGCTTAGTTTGTGGCTCAGTCTGGTTATAAACAAAAGTACACGGATGGAGATGGACGAAGTCGGGGGTCGATGGACATCTCCAGGGCAAATGAAGGCTACACGAGCTGCGGCCCGGTAGTCGAGATGTCGTGGCACAGGGCCGGTGTCCTGCTGCTAGGGGCTCAGTCCTGCCTGCCTGTCCTGGGGGTTCCGGCCGTAGGTGGGATTGGGTCGGTACTCTTGTCTATGGCTAGGATGGGTTGGAAACTATATCATGTCTTCCGTCCGTATACCATGGTGGTATGTGGCACGTGGTTACACGTGAGGAAGATGTGTCTTGTGGGTAAAGATGTACACCTCTGATCAGAGTATAATCTATTCGAATAGCCGCGCCCTCGGTTATGGGCAAGCCGAGCAATGTACCCAAGTTAGTGTTTTAATTCTTAAAACCTGCTTAACAACTAAAATGTGGAATGGTTGGCCTGGGTTGGCTTGGGACGAGCTGGGACCCAGGGTCGGGTTGCCGGTTCGGTCTGAATCATCGTAGGCCTTGGGTTAAGGCAGGTTCGTGTGGGTTTACGGCCTTGATAAATAATATTGCATAGTTCTAGAATCGTGTTTACAAAATAGCTTTGAGCAACTAAGCATCTTTAAATGCTGTTTACTGCAACCCTAACCCTTTATATTATAACTCCCTTGTACTCCCTTGCATTTATTATGCACTTGTGGGTGTGTCTTGTTGAGTACGGTGGTTGTACTCAGTCTTGCTCAATTTTTCCCAACCCAGAAGAGGAGCCCCTGGTTGATGAAGGCTTTGGTGTCTAGCTCGTGCCTGCTGTCAAGCGCCTGTGGTCGTCGCCCTAGTCTTCCGCTGTTTCTCGTTTGTCTTTATGTGTGCTGGGCCTTCGTCGCCCATGTAATAAATTATCTATTTACGCTTCCGCTTGTTAAACTCTGAATTGTATCAACTCTTGGTGTACCTTGCCTCCTGGGACAAGGAATAATACACGCACAAAAGAAACGCCCGTTGGGTTAATTCCGGTCGTGACATTTTGGGGATATTCTACACCCCAATTTTTGTAGTGCATTCTAGCTTTTTATCTCTGTTGCATCAATAGGACTTTGCACAGACACTCATATATCATCTTCTAGCTACCGTCCTATTGATAAAAGTCAGGATAGGATGAACTCGTTATCTTGGCGTTATCATTTGGCCACCATTTGTGCGAGTATGATAATGAATAAGTACCTGTGTTTGATGGTATATGTTCACGAGTGGCTAAACGAAAGGCATCTATTTTGCTCCCTTTATTTAACCTAAAATATTCCTTAAAAAATTATGTGGTTATATGTTTGAATGGAATATCTCTTAATATGCCTTAACATACCCATGTAAGTAACACGTTTCCGCCACTAATTAAACCCTATGTAAGTACCATTACTAGCTTGTTTAAACAAATATTAATTTACTTGTACGCTTGCATATACGTGCATTTGATAGTGGTGTAGAGCTCCTAGGCTCCTAGCACTGTACTATCGAGTTGATTTTCCTCGTCGGCGTATTCCATAAGGCACATTGTCGGTGTATGTAACTGTGCGTGGAATACCTTTTAGGATGACAAGGGTACACTTTTTACATTGCCCTGATCGTTTTGACGAATTGGCCAGCATGAATGTCCTGTTGTGTGTTGATGCTTCACTGCACAACAACTGCCCCACATGCTTGACGCCCGGATGGCCGTATTCAGAAGCAAAAATAAATTAAATTAAATTGTCTCGAGGTGTGCTCCTCTGTGTCCAGTTCTTTTTCGTGCCCTCTCTGATGTAATGTACCAATTAGTACCTAGTTAATCATGAATACGTGCCAGCTCGACCAACAAAGCTAGCTCCTGTGAGGCAAAAAGTGAACTATACGTTGGCATATATCATGGCTGCCCAAAGAGCACAGTACTATATGTCATGTGTACGCCATAGTTTGCTAATGCCACATATTTGATGCCAATACTCCATCCAGCTTGCTGTCCTTCACGGTGCATGTACACGGTTGTGGCTTATTTCGTTTGCTCATCAACATGGTTTAATTTGCAGTTTTGCACAAAGTAGCAAATATTATGTTTTTTTCCTTGTATTTCTTATAAAACCTAAAAAAAATTTCAGAGCTTTTTATTTTTTTAATTTTATTAATAGATCTTCCACGCCACCGTAGCTAGCATGGCCAACCAACGCTGCTACGCCAGTTCGGTTTTTAAAAATAATTTTTGGAAAGATTTATTAATAAAATTAGAAAATAAAAAGAAAATAAAAAAAATTATAAAACCTCCTGCCTTTTCCCACACATATGTCACACTGAAAACCAGACAGCGGTGAGAGAGGGGGGGAGTGGAAGAGAAGCAAGCGCGAGACAAGGCGGACAGGAGGCGTGGCTTTTTTGTGCGGTCCGTCACACACACAAACACACGCGCTGTCGCTTTTCTCGGAGAGGCAGGATTTGCAAGGGTGGTTAGGGCAAGTACTATAAGGTTTTAAGCACAAACTCCAAAGTGCCATGTATGCTTAAATAATGATGTGGAGGAGAGAAAAGAAGAGAGAGGGGAGGAGCCACCCCTCATGCAAAGGGCAACCTCTACACAAATTTTAAGGAACAAGAGAAAATAAAAGGACTGATTGGTGGCAAGTGTATTGAGACTAGTGTATTAAATGCAATGCATTTACATAAGTTAATTTTGATTTTTTGGATGGATGATGTGAATAAAATTGGAGGTGACCACCACATTTATTATAAAACTTGCCCTTTGAGGACGAGGCGGCAACAGCTGCAAACCCAAGTAAAGCCAGCCAGCCTACCCATGCCACACCAGTACACCACAGAATGTGATGGTGATTGTGATCTTTCACAGTAAAAAAGAAAAAAAGGAAGATCTGTTCTTGAAGCCAAACAGCGATTGCTGGTTTTGCTGGTGTTGGCGATGAGATTCTATTATTCCCCTTGCCCCTAGTGGGCGATCAACACCGACACCCACTGCACTGCCCCTCCCCTCCATTCTTTTCTTTTCTTCAACCCACCGCGCGCTCCAATTCGGAAGCTCGGGGAGCAGCAGGCAGAAGCAATGGCGGGCTCGTCCAGGCTCAAGTAAGTGTGCCAATCCGGCATCAATCTCTCATCTTCTTTACCCGCAATTGTTTGGCTGCCTTTTTGGTTCCATTTGACTTAGTTCTTGGTCTGAGCAAAATAAGATTTGTTGGACACATGCTGCAGTTCTAGCACGGCCGACGCTGCCAAAAGCAGCAAGAGCACGCCACATGTGGCCGCCACCGCTAGGCCGGTGGCCTGTGGCATCCCACGTCATGCGGCGGCGCGTGCCGAGAGGTCCCCGGCGTTGGTGGAGAAGACGCCGTCGCCGTCGTCAGCCGACCACCGCTCGCCCAAGATCTCCTCCCGGATCAGTACACTGCCTTCTGCCGAGGTACGGTCCATTGATCATCTTTACTGCTTGCTTAGATTCTTGAGAGATGTTTGTTTGGTTGTAAATTTTTTTTGAGCGACTCCTGTCCTGCGCCCACTGGAATTGAATTGAATTGCTGGCTGCAGAAGCACAGGACTGCCGTGAAGAAGCAGTCCATGGAACAGCTCGCGGCGATCCAGGAGGATCTCAGGAGGGCAAAGGAACAGCTGGCAAAGAAGGAGACGGAGCATCGTAAGGTCGCCGACGACGCCAGGAGGACGGCCGATGAGGCCAATGCCAAGCTCCGGTACGCCCTCGCCGAGCTCAAGAAGGCGGAGGAAGCCTCCGAGACCGAGATGTTCCGAGCCATCGAGCTGGAGCAGACTACCATCGAGTCCACGCAGAGGAAGGATGAGCTCCAGCGGAGGCTGGAGGCAACGCGGCGCCAGCAGGAGGCCGACGCCGCGGCGCTGCGGTCCATGGTAGCGCAGCTGGAGGAGGCGAGGCTAGAACTGGCTGACGCTATTGACGCCAAGAACCTGGCGCTCAGCCACGCCGATGACGCCATCAGAGCCGGCGAGGCGAACGCCGCCCAGGTGGAGCTCCTCAACGCGGAAATCAACCGACTCAAGGATTCGTTTAATTCTGAGCTAGAGAGCAAGGTAAAAGAATCCGCTGAGAAAACCAGGAAGCTGGAGGCCGAGACGTCGGTACTAAGGATCAAGCTCAAGAAAGCCAAGGTTGCCGAAGAGAAGGTGGCTGAATTGGAAGGTGCCGTTGAAGGTCTCAGAGCTGATGTTGCCAATGCCATCAAGGCCAGGAGAGAAGCAGATGGATTGGTTGGTGAATGGAAGAAGAAGGCTCAACTTTTTGAGATCAAACTGGAGCTAGCCAACCAGTCCAGCATCCTCAAGGCTGAATCCATGAGTTCGGTGATGAAGGAATTGGATGCGGCGAATGCTTTGTTGCAGGTAAAAGAGTCTCAAATTGCTCTTCTTCACGACAAGATAGAGTCCTTGGAACATGAAGTGGTGAGGCAGAATGAAGATATCAATGCATCAGGTCAGCGCGTCGATGCCGCGCAGAGAGGAGCATTAGCCTTAAGGACAGAGATCCAGGAGCTTAGGTCAAGGCTTGGCGCGATGGAACAAGAGAAGAGGGGTACTATCAAGGATGGAAGCTTTACAAGCTCCCAAATTGAGGCCATATGTGAAGAGAAGGATAAGCTAGCTAAGGAACTAGAATCTAGCAAATATGAATGCGAGAAAGTTAGAAAAGCAATGGAGGATATGGCCTCTGCATTGCAAGAGATGTCTGCTGAGGCAAGAGAGTCACAGGAGAATTACCTGCACAAAGAAAAAGAGATCGAGCACACCAGGGCAAAATTACAAGAGCTCAACATCAGCCTCAACAACACCAGGGATAACTATGAGGTAATGCTTGATGAAGCAAACTACGAGAGGATCTGCTTGAAGAATAAGGTGGAACAGCTGGAAGCAGAAGCCAAGACCACATCTGAGGAGTGGCGATCCAAAGAGCTTAGCTTTGTTAGCTCTATCACAAAATCAGAAGAAGAGATCATGTCAATGAGAACTCGGTTGGGTAAAGCACTAGAGACGGCAAGAGACATGGAGAACAGAAATGCTCAACTAGAGGAGAAGGTAAGAGAACTGGAAGCTCTGATGGACAAGGATAATAATTACAGAGGAGGCAAAGACACAAAAGCGTACAAAGAGAATGATGGCCTGCATCTGCATGTCAAAGAATCATCTGGTTCAGAGAAAATCAAGGACTTGTATTCTCTGATAGGAAATGACGAGGGAAACACGGAGAAAGATGGGCCAGTTTTGCTAGTTTCTAAGATGTGGGAGAACAGCTACAACTTATCTAAGGAGAGGGACGACGGTGAACCGGAAGTTGATCTGTTGGACACAGACAGAGACATTGCTGCTGATGGCAATGGCAGTAGGTTGTCCACAGAGAAGACCAACAGTAACACCAAATTGGTAGTCAAGCAGAACCAGCAAAAGAAGGCTTTGATGAAGAAATTCGGTGGCTTACTGAAAAAGAAAAGCCAACATTAGGTAATCCTTATCAAATAAAAGGAAAAAATTGCTTGATCTATAACACATATGACTGTTTTATCTCGTTTATATATTATTACGTCCTGCTGACGTGGCAGTGGAGATGATAACTGTAAGCTTAAGAGGGAAGAGAAAACTGAAGGGTGGTATATTTCCTTTCCCTTTTTCGGGTTAATTTCTTACGTTGTGTATTTGTGAGAAGTATTTATGCTCTAGTTTTGTTTTCTGACTGGTTCTCTAGTTTTTGTATCTATATGTATGCTGCGGTTATATGAATGTAAAGGAATATGAGGTTGCACTTGGGTTGTTCTCCAATACATTTCACAACCTATGTATATGCATCATGCGTGCATAGAACACCAACCAAGCAAGGGGTATCAACTATTGGTGTGTACTTTCTACTCCCTCTATATCACAAAATAGAAGTATTCCTTGTATCCAGTGACAATTTTATTAATGGAAAAAATATTATTGGTGGTGAGTGGTAAGTAATATTGAATTTAATTTGCTGATAAGGGTAGATAGGATTGTAGGAATTTATCGAACTATTCTTGAGAAAGTTTAAATCCTAGAGATCAACTAATTTTAGAATGGAGGGAGCATATCGTATATAGTTCTAACAGATTGCGCATCAACTGACAGCGTATCAGCTGAAAATAGAGTCGGAGTTTGATTGAGCCGATATGGAAAGCAGCCGATACAGTTAGACTTGGGTTCGGTTTGGGCCACGAGATAACCAATATTGCGATATAAAGATGGAACTCATTTAAGGCAAATGTATCTATTAATTAGGATATTAATGACAGTTTGAATTTGAGATATGGTAAGAGTCCATCGTATGGACTTATTTGTTGTTTTTATCCATGGGAAAGTTTGAGTCAAGCCCATAATGGACAAGTTTTGTACTTGGGGTATGAATATAAACTCTAGATCATTGTAATAAGGGACGAGAATCCAATCAATACAACTTTCGGCGCATCGCCACTTTTTTTTTTACTTTTTCGATGAGTTCTGGCTTCGAGTCGGGTATTGGCTGCGATATCTCGACAAGAGGTAACTTGTCTTGATGGCTTGCACTATCAGGGCTATTATGTCGATTTTAGCCTTTTTACCGTGGTCATCATTTATCATATATCTTAGTTAATCTAGTTTAGTATTTCGATTTAGTCATATCGGCTGATTCTCACTTTAGGGTTTATGCTGGTATAAGCTAAATTGCTTTACTGTATTAGATTAGCTAACGTATTTACCATCCTAACAAGTGGTTAATTTCTTGATTGTTTAGACTTTAGGTTTCTTAACATACTTTGAGTTGCAACAACCCTAGTCTTGTCTCGAACCCTATAAACTAGCCTGGAATTAATCATAACTAAGGATAGCATCGGAGTTTCAGCTGATCTTACCTAATATACATAATAATGCATATTTCATAATCTGTTTTATCTATATTTGCCACTTATATAGATAGATCACTCTGTATAAATATATCAAGTCTGATTGATCTCAACTAATCTATTATATCTGGTGATAGATTATTATTTGATACATTTATCTAGATTAACCTGTTTATATAAGTTTGTATTGGATTATTATATATTCTCGCTCTAAATATTGGATCATTGGCTATTTCTATAATGCTATCTAAAAGTGATTGATAAAAACAAAAGACATAGTATTACAGCCGATAGGACATATTCAGACTTTTTGCTTTACGTATCCATCTCAAAACCGCAACCGATTTGATTTAACTTATCGGCTGGGTCTTGATGATACGTTATCGGCTCTATTGGCCGATCGGGTATCGTTCATCTAATTACGTTTATTGTCTTTCTTGATACTTGAGGCAAGCCTTGAACCAGCATAGGAGTGAAAGAAATCTCCCAGACCGTTGTGTTTCTCATCAACACTCTTTTAGCGCGCCCGGTGGGACCACTTCACCATTCATCATGCCGCCATCTCTCATTGAAATCACCGACGACAACATCATCCCCGTCACTATTGAGCACTTGTCTGATGAAAAGAAAGCAGAGAGAAGCTTGTTCAACATATGCAGCGGATGTATCTCAGTTCTTATAGTATGACTCGGCAAGGGAAGCTGATTCAGAAGAATAAAGTCGAGTTCCCAAAGCTTGTTGAAGAAAAGATAGATAAGAAGTCTGAAGGTGATGGAGATAAAGAAGAATACAAGCCAACTCTGGAAGGTCACATTGACTTAGCTGTGCATCATGCATTTGATTAATTAATCTGGTGTGCTAGTCAATACATTGACGGGTATGATCAGATCAGTGGTAGATACGACCATTGCTGAGGAGAAAGCTAAGGGCCCAGTATAATTTCTAAAGGAAAAAGTACGAATTACCCCCCTAAACTATTGCGGTAGTCCGAATTACCCCCTAACTACAAAACCGGACATTCTTCACCCCTAACTATGCAAACCGGATGAATTACCCCCCTTGATCCAATCCACGGTGGTTTTGATCTACGTGGCGTACGCATGGCAGTCCAGTCAGCAATTTATTTATTTAAAAAATGTGGGACCCACCTATCATACTCCTATTCCACTATTCCCCCCTCTCTCTCTTCTCTTTCACTCTTCCTCTCTCTCTCCTCTCTCTCTCTATCTCACGCGCACAGCAGCAGGCGGGCGGCGAGCGGCGGCGGCGGGGGATGAGGCGATGAGCGGTGGTGGGTGCGGAGGCGGCGGCGGCGGAGGAGGCGAGCGGCGGCGGGAGCTCGCGCTGCTCAAGCGAGGCGAGGCGGCAGCGGCGGAGGAGGCGAGCGGCAGGGGATGAGGCGGCGAGCGGTGGCAGGGTGCAACAGAGGAGGCGAGGCGAGGCGGTGGCGGCAACGGGAGCTCACGCTGCTCGAGCGAGGCGAGGCGGCGACGGTGGAGGAGGCGAGCGGCGAGGGATGAGGCAGTGAGCGTCGGCGGATGAGGTGGCAAGCGGTGACTGGGTGCGGTGGAGGCGAGGCGAGGCGGCGGCGGCGACGGCGGCGGAGGAGGCGACCCCGCGACCACCGATCCGGCGGAGGCGGGCACTCGCCTCGCACCAACGCCTCCACGCTCCACTTCCGCCTCACCCACCGCGAGCACTTCGCGCTCAACGCCACCGCTTCCGATGTGCTCGCGCACCTTCTCGCCCGGGACACCGCGCGCGCCGCCCTGCTTGCTGCACCCAACAATGCCACGCGCCCGCGCTGCCGCGGCGGCTTCGTGGCGCCCCTGCTGTCCGACCTGCTGCAGGGGAGCAGGGAGCTCCAGCTCCACGAGCACCACAGGCACCACGGGCACGTCCACCGCCCGCCCCCATGCGTCGCGCCCGTAGCCGCCACCGTAGTCGCCTTCGCTCGGCCGTCGCCGCGACGCCGCCGTCCGCCGCCCGCCCTCGTGCACACCTGTAGACAAAGAGAGATTGAGGGGAAGAGGGGAAGAGAGAGAGAGATTGAGAGGAAAGTAGGAAAGAGAGAGGTGGGAGAGTATGACAGACGGGTCCCACCATTTTTTATTAAAAAAACGCTGGCTGGGATGCCACGTGTACGCCACGTAGACCAAAACCACTGCGGATTAGGTTGAGGGGGGTAATTCGTCCAGTTTGTATAGTTGGGGGCGAAGAATGTCCGGTTTTGTGGTTAGGGGTGGTAATTCGGACGACCGCGATAGTTCAGGGGGTAATTCGTACTTTTTCTATTTCCAAATCATATTTTTCCCACAGTACAGGAATGTAAAAACTGATCTAGGTAGGCTGGGAGGAGAAGAGGAGGGAGTGGGCTGGCCCGGAAGGAGGGCAAAAAGGGAGGAAGGAAGAAGAGGGAGAGGAAGAGGACTTCGGCCGGGGGTCGAGGGACAGAGGGGAAGACTCTGTGCCAGACTTGGCCTAAATGAAGGAGATGGATTATTTTTAGGTTTTTCTTTTTTAATATGAACTCTGAAAATTGTTTTTGTTGCTTAATAAATATTTCTGACGCTCTGAAAATTCAAATAAAATTTGAGGGCTCCTTTTAGACCATGGATAATTTAACAAAAATACTCCGGGACACATTCAGATTTTTCATGTACGAGTTTTGATGTTTGTCAATTTCTTTTTGAGTTTTAATTAATTCTATTATTCCTTTTGGAGAATGATTTTTAATTGGGATGAATTTATCAAGACGTGATAGATTCTTTGCATATTTTTAGAATAAAAATGTAAATTTTAGACTTGGGTGGCAAGTGATATGCATATGGTGGTAGTTGCATACCGATAGGGGGGAGTGTTTGTCTGAGTCAATTTAGGACCGAACTACATGTCACCCACTTATGTATACTGTACTATTCCTCCCTCCAAAACCGCGTAGCTAGCCCATCCAACGAGCGGACCCACTTACACATACCACTTCACTTATACTTTTGTGCTCGCTTGGTGTAAAAGGGTTAACCCGGGAGTGATATGGTTGGAGGGACAAGCCCTTATAAGTTGGTTCAACTCTTGCTAAACTAGCAAGGACTAAACGTGCTGTGTGTGGCCTAGATCTGGCGCACGCGGAGTGACGTGAAGTCGCCATGCTGGTGTGTTGAACACGTTGTCCCTTGTTGGCATGTAAGGGAAGTGTCCCGACCTAGATGCTTCCTGGGTGGGGTGAACATGAGGCGGAATTTGGAATACCTAGGGACGTGGTTGTGCCGTGGGGACGTGGTTGTGCCGTGCTCATCGGGGGTACCCCTGATCTAGCTGACCCCCTGGTGTACTCCGGTGCTGGGGTGTGTTGAAAGGAAGGACGACTGTGAGATGGTTGTGCTGCTTCGTACCCGCGGCATGACGAGGAGGGACCACTGTGATCCACGCTGGAATGTCGGGGTAGTGGTGGTGATGCCCTACGGGCCGACGGCTGCACCACATCTGCCGCGCTCCGACAGGAGACACGACGAAGTAGTGCGGCAGCACGGGCACGGAAGTTGCGAAGGATGCTCGCCACGTCGTCAGGCCTGACGGCTGGAGGTCTTGACGGTTGGAGGTCTCGTCTCTAGTCTTTGCAGCAAGGTGTCCGACTCGACTTGCACGTGCTCAACAAATTTTGCATGTTCCACAAATAAGCAAGACAATTAAAATTATGATATAGTTGCACATTTATTCAAAGTATTGAATAAGTTGCACATTTATTACGAATATTGACCAAGTTGCACATTTATAAAAAATACTTAACTAGCACATTTATTAAAAATATTGAACTAGTTCCACATTTATTAGAAATACTGAACTAGTTGCTCATATTCCGCATGTTCCACAAGTAAACACATACCATTGAGTTGTAAGCTGATCGAGGCTGAGGGGCAAACGTGTCAGTAATCGCTGCCTGGTGGGGGACGGTGCTATCTCCTTGTGGCGGAAAACACCTCCATCGTGTGACACTGCGGTATCAACGAAGGTAGGCCCCATAGTAACTCCCATCGTCTGGAGGTTTCTGAAGCGCCAAATTATCAACTGCGTGCTCCCACTCTTGTACAGTCGGCTGAACCATGGTCACAATAACAAGCTCGTAGGAAAGCCCGAGCCCCTTTCGGGAATACCTGCACAGCAAGAAATGGACACATTTATTCAAAATCGTACGTACACATATTTTTGTTAAAAATTGGATTAAACAACTGTTATGTGTACCAACCTCTGAAGACTATCAGCCAAAGCATGACCAACTCTGGGAGAAAAGTCCTGATACATGCCCAACTGTTTAAGAACCCTTTGGACATTGTGTGGCTCGACGTGCACGTCCAGCACGAGGTGACAAGTCGTCCTCCATAGTGCTTGATCCCGCGTGCAAAGGTCCGCGAGACCGTGCGGTGCACGATCATTGACATCGTGTTGAGTGTACGGAGTCTACCGCACACGGTCAGGCGTAAGCTGATCAAAGTTAGCTACGAACTGTGTGTACACACGACGCGTCGTCCCGCTAACCCACTTCGGCTGTAACAAGAAGATAGTACTTATGATTAGTTATATCAGGAAATTATTCAACTTGTGGTGAACCGTATATAATGAGAAGACAAACGAATTAAACAAAAATTACCTCACAGTGTGTCCACAAGGATCCCATAGTGGGACGATTGTCGAGGTCACCAACCCCGGACTTGTACATCTCTCGCAATTCGTAGTTTGCGTACGAGTCCAGCTGAGGCCTCCCAATGTCGAAGCGCTCGTGCGCCCACAACATGAGTAGCAACGGGCATCCAGGGAGTGAATTTGCTTGCTGTTCCTCAAGCAAGCATCACATAGTCCAGCATATGTGGCCGCAAGTACCGCCGACCCCCAACTGTACTGTGGAAACTCTGCGATAGGTAACTCTGCAATCTGCTCCGCGTAGTGGATGAAGTGCTTGTCCACCGAGTCAGTGTGAGTTCCTGTGAACATCACCCATCCAAACAACCACAACAGGTAAGCGACTAAGTGCCGTCGCACGATCCAGTCCTCCTGATCATCAGGAAAGACATCATGTCGAAACTGATTCAACCAACTTTTTGTCGGCCCGTGCCCATCCATGAGATCCTCCAGTGCAACAGGCAGCACACCACCAAAATTGGCCAGAAGGTCGTCTGCCCATCCAGCTTGTACCATTGTTGGGCCAACTGCTGGCCCAGCTATCGGCAGACCCAACAGATAAGACACATCCTGCAAAGTGGGCACCATCTCTCCAACTGTGAGGTGGAAAGTGTGGGTCTCAAGCCTCCATCTATCCACGAGAGCACTCAGAAGCGCCGCGTGAAGGCTCGACCAATCGTGCAAAGGTCAACAAGCCAGCTGCTCTCAACCTACAAGAAGAGAGAGTGCAAGTTATTAATACAGGGAAATGTCAAAATCTTATAAGGTTAAAACAATATATTATTACGCACCTTGGAACCCAACGAGGATCAATACGCCAATATTGATCCGGTCCTCGCATTTTCAGCACATTGCAGAAAGTTCCTCTACTAAGTCGTCGCGACCGATGGTTCCTATCAATCTCCTTGTCGATCAGCTGCACGTCATATTGTTCAGCCATACCTGCATATTGAAAACCATATTAGTACAATGTTCATATGGTAACAGTAAATTAAATGCATGACACATAATTCAGATACATAATTTAGATAATTAAATTGCAACACATTTATTCAATTTAAAATTACAATACCTTCAGATAATAAAAGTGCAGTATATTGCAAATTAAAACTACAAGCCAACAACACGTAGATTTGGATATTAAAAGTGCAGTGCACAGTTCGAAAATTAAATTACAAGCCCATTACAAATAGATTCGGATATTACAAAAAACAAGCCCACAACACATTGATTCGGAAGTTAAAAGTGGAGGATTGTTCAAATTAAAAATACAGACGCGCTAAACATAAATTTGAAGACACCAACTTAAAAGTACAAGCCCACCAAGGCTATTAGCGATCTAAGGATTATTTTTCTTCTTCGACTTTCCCTTTGGAACGCGACGAACATCAGCTCCTGCGGCGTCTTTCCCTACATTGTACATGGCACAATCTTTACGGGCATGGTTCTCCCCACAAAGAATGCAAGCTTTCTTACGACGAGAACGATCTTTCGCTTTAGCTTCATCCATAAGGTTCTTGATCCTACGCGACTGGCGACAACCTTTAGTATCAACTAATAAATGAATCCAGAACCCAATTGGCTTGCCCTGGAGGAGGACGAGTGAAATCGCACACGGCTCGCCAACCACGCAATTCACCTCGCCAAGTTGCCTCCCACGCTTCCTTCATAAAGTACGGAGAAACAAAATGGTTTGCATCAACACCTCCTTTTGTGGAAGCGACAAGAACATGAGAACATGGCTGGTGTAACAGATAAGGCTTGTGCAATTGCATTTGCAAGCATGATACTCTGGCCACAACGTGCATTCCAATGTGATGTCAGTAGTCCCAATGCCGACACCACTCTTGTCACGAAGTCGTATCTCAAATAGCAACTCTCTATTCCCAGCAGGCCACACTCTATGCATTCCTCCCTTCTTGCTTTTCTCATCCATGTACTGTGTAATTGCTGGGCTATACTTAACACTGGGTTTGCTGAGGTTAAGACTAGCCATAGAATACCTTTTACAGAGATACTTCTGTGTACCCCTAGTGATGCCCTCAAGGATAGCAACAAGTGGTAGCGGTCGTGTATTTTTTTCATAACCCAGTTATACACTTCAGCAAGATTAGTTGTTATCACACTATACCTCGATCCATTTGTATCGTACAATAACGACCATTTCTCCCTTGGCTCAAATTCAACCCACTCCGTGAAGCACTTCGTGGCCCTTCCGCGCTTCCTGCACCGAGTAATACTTGGTGCTTCATTAGGAATGGGTTCAAGTCCCTCCGGCTCCTCCTGTCTGGCAACTACGGGCTTTTTCCTAACCTCTTCCATGTGTGTAGTGGTCAAATGATCAAGTTGTTCCCATATAGCATCAAACTTTCTTTGTTGATTCTGCTTGCATAACTTCTTGAACAGGTCCATCAATCTCTTACTCCTAAATTGCCTGTAAAAATTAGCCCCAAGATGTCGCATGGACCATCTGCTATGCAAATCTGGCCATGGCACGGACTCTGTCACATCTTCTTGAAGCTTCTGTATCGTCGATAACAAACCGGCATGTCGGTCATGCAGAACACAAACATTTGGTCTGTTTTGAACAACACACATTTTAATGTGCCACAAAAACCATAGCCAGCTTGATGTGTTCTCGCTTTCAACAAATGCAAAAGCAACAGGAATGACATGGCTATCCGCGTCGACTCCGATCACGGTTAGAATTGTTCCTCTATACTTGCTTGTCGTGAAAGTGCCATCAACACAGAGCAAAGGAATGCAATTTCTAAAGGCCTCTATCATGCACCCAAATGACCAGAAAGCCCGACGAAGAACATTCTCTCTATTTTCATTCACCTCGTGGAGAATAGCCATGTGTGTGCCTGGGTTTCTTGCCTGCATCACCTCCAATAGTGGGGGAAGATTGTGATAAGAATCCTCATAAGTTCCAAACCTCATCTCAAGTGCTTTCTGTTTTGCCCTCCAAGCCTTGACATACGATATCTCATATCCGTACTCTTTCTCTACGTCATGCATTATTGTGAAAGGGGACAAAGATGTTTTTCTAACCACCTTTGAATATACCATTTGTGCCACAAATACCGCTGTCATGTTCCTATGTACCAGATGAGTATTCTCCAACAAACACGTATGTTGCTCAACCCTCGAAGCTACCCATAAAGTGTCATGTTGTGGCTTGTAACCATGCACTCTCCAAGGACATCCAGCCTGTGTGCACTTCACGTCGTACGTCGTCCTATTTGAAACCTTCACCCTGAACTCACGCTTCTGGTCAAATGCCCACCTCTTCACCGCATCTTGTAAGTGACCTTTGTCATGAAACATCTGCCCAACTTGCACCTGCTTACTATCATAACGCCAGTGGGCATCTAAACCATCGTTAACCTTCATACGACTCATCGATATGGTCGTCCAATCATCGGGTATGTTGGTTTCGTTGTCCCACAGTGTTGTATCTTCTCCTTCCACTACAAGCGCAATGTATTCTTCGTTTTCCACTTCCATCCGATCCACTACCGCCTCATTCTCCTTTGCTGCATCAACACGCATAGGCGAATCTGGTTCTTCATCGTCCGAGTCGTCGGCCTCACGATTATTGTCACGAACAATGACCTCTGCTTGTGTATTACCCTCTACTACTTCTTCCCCCGACCTTGCTCAGTCCGCCAAACATTTTCAGCTTGTGCACCTTCCAATGGAGTTTCTTCCACCACGGCATGACTTGACTCCCCCGATCGATCAACACATGTTGTCTTCTGCACCACTATTGCCAGGCTATACCCTTTCTCCCTTACTTTACTAACAAACTTCCTCCAACTCCCAGTTGACGCAACCTCCACTACTCTCCGCTGCCATCCATGTTGACCCCTTACTGGCCACACGGCATTTATGACAAATTTATCGAGCACTGGATCTACCCCAAACATATTATACAACCACCCTAACACATCGTTCAAACCCATATGCTCCGGTGCATTCAGACTAGTATTATAGAAGGCATATACAGTCAAATCCACTCCGCTATCACATATTTGTATAGGAGCATCTCCATAATACAGACGAATGGGCATATCACCTGACATCCTGATAAAACATTATAAATTGTCTTATTATACGGTACTGACCGACACATATCTTACCCTTACGTTTAATAATCATCATACCCAGTTGTACTAACCTCTACCTATTTAAACACATCAAACATTAAATATATGTACTACCATGTACTAACTTAACTAATTTCAGCATACGACTAATTTAATATCTCTACTCACATTTCACAATGACAACTGTTAACGTATCATATGATATGTAGTCACATTGGAGAATGATAAACAATTAACAAATCACAAGTCTTCTTCTATAAGATTAAAAAATCGTAATCCTCATACTTAGGGATTACAAATTTATACCTCAATGTCGTCGCTTCAAGCCGTTGCCTTCACTGCCCTCCAGGCCGGCGCCGCCCTGGCCTTGTCTCTGGCCGCCCACACCCTCCCCTCACTCCCTCCAGCGCGCACGGCGACAGCACTGGCGACTGCAATGGTGACGATGGCGATGTGGTCCTCCTCAATCGGTTTAGAGAAAGCTAGGTTCGGGCTGCCGATATAAAGGGACCTGTCGAATGCCCATTGTTCGACAGGGGCGGCGGCGGGACCAGTCGAACTCCCCGTATTCGACAGGCCGCGCGGCACCGGGTGGTGGGCCCAGTCGAACAACCCCGGTTCGATAGGCCGTCCTGTCAAATGGCTACAGTTCGATAGGGCCCAATCGAAGGCTGGATGTTCGATAAGCCCCTTGTCGTTCCTCCCCCATTCGATAGGAGCCTATTTTTGCGATTTCCAACAGATGGCCGCTAATTTTGCGATTTTCCATAAAAATAATATTAATTCTCAAAAAAATTCCTTCAAGGCATGGCAACATGTGTTGAATTGTGTCTTCTCGGTACAATTGTGCACATCTGGCCAGAGTAAAACTATTTAAATAGTTGTGCCCTCGGTTATGGGCGATCAACCAGATTCACCGTGATTAATCACATTCTATTAATTAACTTGACTTAATGAATTGGTTTAGATCAGGTAGAATGGTTGGGCCTGTTCAACATGGTGTAGCGTTGTTCAGTGGAGATTTAATAGTGCCTTAATTAATCAACCGTTTTACTATTTTAAACTATAAAATGTTTGCAATCGCCTTTATGCAACTAGCCACAAACCCCTCTTTGTTCCCCCTTGCATGTCTGCATCATTGGTGTGGCTTGCTGAATATTTGTACTCAACCTTGCTATTATTCACCCTTTTTCAAAAGTGTAGTGTTTCTGAGTTGAAGACGAAGTTAGAGGACCAAGGCTTATACCCCAGTTGAGTTTTGCCTATGGAGTGGAGCTAAAGCCCCATTAGGATCGCCTTTGTCCGTTGTTGCTGTTTTTTTTCTGTGTGAGGACTAAGTGCCTCTTATGTAAGTATTTACAGTTTATTTATATTTGGATCTGTATATTTACTTGTTGTTTTGTGTACCCTAGCTGATTCCTGGACAGGGACTTAATACACAAAATAGTCTGAAAATTTGGGCTAAATTTCTAGATGTGACAGTTTTAGGCTTTGCAGAGTTTGTACAGATATCCACATGATATGAACACTCTAATTTGTTTTGTGCTCGCCAGGCACTGCCATACTCTTCATGGTGAATGTGGTCTAGAGGTTATAACAAGGCTTTTACATTGACTACCGTCTGACCTTGCATGAGCACGATGAATTTTCAATCCCTACTAAGTCCAGAACATTAGTGTTGTTAGGACGGTTGGCCTATCGAACCTGACACCGTGGCGAAGCAACTCTTCCCATGAGGCATTCAGCATTGTATTGGACAAACTTAGACACCCACGCTGTGAGGCGGAACAGTACACTCATCCCCTCACAGAAAACACACACTTAGGACTAGTTCACTCATCCTAAAATTCAACACACACATGGGTAGCTCCTCTAGATAGCCTACAGTTCACTCGTGGCCACTACCTATACTGCATCGGTCTCCTTAATGCAATGTTAGACAAGTACTCAACTTAATAGGCCAAGGTTACCCCATAAATAACATATGTGGATGTACGGTATATGTGATATCCCGGCCCAATTAGAATGAGGCCTGTGTGGCCCATGAGAGCTGTGTTTAAACAATAACACGCTTTAGTTTCAAATTATATGCATGTATCATTACTAACTACGCGATTATTTGTTTCTCCCTCTTATGCAAACAGACGATGAGTACGGTTCGGCATCGACGTATCATGGAATGCCTACTTACTCCCCTCGCACAGCATTCGTTGAGGACTTCTTTTCCACTGAGCCTCCTCAAGGGGAACTAGGGATGGATTACTGGCACGCAGCACCTCAGGTGACACAGCCGACGCAGGAGATGGGGGCCATTCAGGCTCCCAATGTGACACCACAGCAGGCAGCAAGAGAGAGGCACCCCCCTGATAATTTGACTTATCCCACTGAGCAGGTTAGGCGTAGGAAGAAGGGGGGACCTAGCAAGCGTGCGAAGGGCACTGATCGTCCTTGAGTTATCTATTTCTGTTAAAAATTGAGACATTTATGTTGTGTCCGTACTATTTGTGAACAATTTATTATTAACTTAGTAACTATCAGTACTATTTTTGTCTTTTTTTTCATACCCTTTCCAATGACGGAGTACAAAAGATTCGCTTCGAACTTTGCAGCGCACTATACTACAATAATGAAAATATAAATTCATTCATCCAAATATTTTAACCAAAAAATAAATACTAAAATTTCCCACAAAATATTATTAAAAAATATTAATTGTAGAAAAGTTCCAGAAAAAAATTCACAAAATTCACAAATAAAAATTCAGCCTGAGGACAAGTCGAAGAACAGTTGTTCGACAGGGATCCTATCGAACCAACGCTATTCGACTGCTACCTGTCGAACTGCCCCTGTTCGACAAGGCGCCAGTCGAACTACCCCTCTTCTATCGCGGTCCACCCGTTCGATAAGGCGCCTATCGAACTGCACCTATTCGACAGGACCCCATTTTTGCGATTTTCCACAGGTGGCCACTAGTTTTGCGATTTTCCATAAAAATAATATTAATTCTCAAAAAAATTCTGCCTTGAAGTACCACGATGATACTGCAAAGGGGGAAATGGTAACTCCCCCTAACCAATCGCACTACACACCTCAGGTTTCACCCCCTCCTTAAGCCAAGTCGGGTAGGCCCCTCTCGTGCCTAGGTGAATCCAGAAGCAGCATAGGCCGTCTGTCGACCTCCAATTTTGGAAATCGGAAATCTTCTGTATTTATCAGTACCAATCCCTGGATCAGTAGTTGGTACACACATACATAGCCAAATCACAACATATCATGAATGAATTCAGGCTAAGAGAGTTAAATGCTTACATTAGGGCAAGGCAGGCCAACAACTATCAGAGAACAACAGCGGAAGACAAAATAATACAAGGGCCCGGTTGACATGCCACAAGCAATCGACTGGGGAACGAGACCTAGAATGGAACCGCACTCCGATCATCTTGTTAGGTACGCAAGCATACTAACAAGGGCTTCTCTTCAACACTCTGCTAAAAGATATATATAGAGCAACAATGAGTACAAAAGTACTCAACAAGCCACCACACAAAATGCAATAATGTACAGGATAATACAAGGAGTGGCTATGGTTTCTTTGCGTAAAGCTGAGTTTTCAAATATTGTTTCACAAACCTAAGACCTAGCATAAACTGATCAAGTTTTAATTCCATTATTCATTAAACAGCGATGGTTCTGTCCACCATCTATTGTGTTCCCAAGGATAGCTTCTCGCCACTGGTCATCATGGTTTTCTGGGGTCTACCACTTCTCGCCTCTCGAGAAGTTGATCCACCAGCACAAAATCATCATGCATATCCCATCCATCATTTTAAGAATTTAGAGTCTAGCCAAGTGTAATACATATCCCGGTGCTCAATATCCGCGAGCATGGCTATTCGAATAGATTGATTTACTCACACTGCAGTGGATGTACACTTTACCCGTACTCGTACTCCGCGACTTGCCCATCACATAAGCCTATGTCCCAACGAATGAGACTTGCTACGGCAAAGCCTTTCAACAACCTCACTTTGGCAGTACCCGCTCCATGAACTTTAGTCCTCATGCACTCCAGGCGTCCAAGGTTTCTAGCAGTGAGAGGAGTTCTGGCGCTCGCGAGGGGGAAAGACTCACACATTCATTAAGTTATAGTTAAGTTTAGGTTTGCACATGACAGTCCTACCGATGGCGACACCATTGTAGGCACCCGCCCCTTGCGGTCCTACCAATGGCTGCCCCACCGTAGGCCCTGCCTCACACACAACAAGAAAACCACTATGGCTTGGGTACCGCCTCCGCTCGGCTATTTACTCCGCTAGGTCTATACCCACACGAGAAGTACGGTTGTACAGGGGTTGTTTCATGCTTAACTTCATGGCTCGGTCCTTAACTAACCAGGGACGGCACTAGCCTTTTCCGGACACCACCCAAGTCCTCTAGCCGCCCCAGTCGAAAACAGTTGTTTAGTTTCATTTTTTTCATTTAACAAATCATGTCACCAATGTTCATGGCAATGTGGCGCTCATATCTCCACATGCCGAATCTCAACTACCTTCCCTAAGGTAGTTGCCCAAGCATATAGCATTTAATAAATATGAGAATGCATGATTCTAAAATAGCATTACTAAGCTTTTGTCATAATTGACTAAGGACTCATACGTAATCATGGGTACAAGGAAATAATGAGGGAAATAATAATCAAAGGCATGGCATAATAACAAGTAGGATATTCATCTTGCATGCAATTTTATTTATAAACAAAACAATTTCGCAATTCGGATCAACATGCTAAAGGGATGGGGTGATGACTTGCCTGCTCAGGATAGTTCTTATTCTTGATATAATCTTGATCAACGTTCACCTCCTAGAAGCTGCATATGTTACCTCACAACTAATTGATACACCAATACTATAATACGCGAGAGAAACCAATATTCAAACAACAATCAAATATGCACAAACAAAATATAATTGTTGAAGACATACCTAAGGCTGTTGGTACTACTCGCGTTTGCTAATGGATAATCTCTTAATCATTCTTATTGTCATGGCGGCTTATTTAGGAGCTAACCAGTATAATATGAATGAGGTACATACTACTAATATGTGGTTTATTCTAGCTACAGGGTTATGGGAGGGTTATAGTCAAACAAATAATTACAGTGTTTCATTTGTATTATTATTTTATCAATGGAGTCATTATTTTAATCATGATCAGGTTTTACTTGTCACTATAAATAAAAAAAGGTAATAATTATCCATGCTATATATGTTAGATTTGTGAGGTTAATAATATTATAGTTACAGATTATCTTATTGTATAACTTTATAACTTTATAATGAACAATCCTCAGTTGTGGTTAAACTAAAATTATGTGTGGTCAAGATTTATAACTAGCACTAGTATTTAGCTAATATACTGGTTCTTCATTTATTACCTAGTTTAATATATGCAACTTGTAGATTATCTAAAAGGGTATGTGTGTGCAACAGTATATTAACATTGAACCATTTACTGAATATAGGCAATCGACTATAAGCTATATCATATTGGTGATCTAATCACACTAGCTCTGTTATTATTTCTCAAAAGCAAGTCAACGATTCATCTATGAGTATTCATATTTTAGTTACAGGATATGAGGCCAAATTTGATTTAGATAACCTATAAGTCATGGGTTTAATTATATGGCCATCGAATATTAAATAATACTAGAATTTTCCTATACATCCATTCATTTGAGACATTACTTATATTTAATTTACATGGTTGCTACTGTGACAAAACATGCTAGAAACAAATATTATTACATCTACTCTACTGTATAATACCAATTTTATTTATTAGCATATTTTCAAGTTGACCATAATCTAATCATTTGATATTAATTATGTAATAATTATAAATATATTTTATTAAACAGTGAGTTATATACCATTGGAAAGCTTATGAATTTAGATGAATTTAGGTTCAAGTTTCACTTGAATCGGAGCTAAAATGAATAAGTTATGCTAGTTTAAATATTCAAATTTGAATAATTGCGAAACAGTACTGTTCATATCCGATTTATTTTAATCCGAAACCTATCTACAGCTCAGAGTCACAGACGTGTGGGGTCAGGGGTCTTATTATCTTTTCTACTGAATTATTTTTGCTAGGGGAAATATGGGAGTGGGCCCGACCTGTCAGCGACTTGGCCAGGAGTCGTCTTCTACCTTCGTCTTATTCTTCCTCCCGACCGAGCGGGAGCAGCATGGGAACACGGCGCGCACGGGAAGGCCGGCCGAGGGTGACCCGACGGCAGCCAGGAGAGGCGCGGAGGAGCTCCAGCGATCTCCCGCCGGTGACCACGACGCGTGGCGATGCGGAGGCGAGCGGCGGCTAGGGCAAAAGGGAGAGTTTCCGATCGAATTGGTGGGCGTGGGAGTATCTACGGGGTATGGGGATTTCTTTTTTCTCGCTAGATGGAGAGGGGAGCTCCCGGGATAGTCTACCCACGAGGGGCTTGCCGGCGGCGGAACGGCGGTCGGGCCGGCACGGCCATAGGCATTAATAGTACAAACTGGAGCCGACGCTAGCTATTAGAGGTACAGAGAATGCTATGGTCTCGAGGGTTTACCCAGGGATGGAGAGACAGTGAAGGGCGGCGACGCGTGGTGCAGTGCAGACAAAGCAGAGGTGGCTAGCGGTCGGCGACACACGAAAGTGTTCGACGCGTGTTTCCCGGCGTCCAGCGGTCCTCGGCTTCCCCAATGGCAACGGCGGCAGCACGACACCCCCGCCCCCCCGCCCCCCACTCCCTCCAACCTCCAGCTCTGGACGGGGAGTCCCGCAATATGGTCTTTGGTAGCGGTGAGATTACGCACACAAGGTGTTCGACGCAATGTATTCGGGAAGAAAGCTGAGAGGAATGGGGATTTTTGTTGGGGGCTTAGCTTAGGTTGTAAGGAAACGGTGTGGATAAGATCGCCAGCACATTCCCAGGCGAAATAGAGCTCTAATGGCTATCGGATAAGGGCAAGGAGGTGGATGACACGGATAAGGTTTGATCTCCTCCTCCATTAAGGTTCTATGGCTCCATCATCATACCTAAAGCCTAAAGTCTGTGCGTTCTAGCTCTAGCTGTGGTAGGAGGCTCCGTTTTACCCAGCGGACATAAGGAGGGGCGCCAAAACATCATGAGATGTGGATAAGGTTTTCTCTTCTCTCTCACACTCAGGGATTTGGGGAATCAAATGGCCGGTATTAGGTTTGCAGGCCTCGGAGCTAGGGGTGACGAAGGGCGAGGTGGCGGCCGTTATCCCTCGGCGTCGAGAGGCGACGCGCGATGGCGACATCGATGACGCCGGCGCTCGTGGCGGCATGGGCGGAGCGGCTTCCGCGGCTGAGGTCCATGTGCGAGCGCGGCATGGCGCACGGTCTCGCGGTGGAGTGGCGCACGGTTAAGTAAAGACGGACGCGTGGTGGGGGCTGGGTCGCTGGGTGTTCGACTCACTAGGTTCGAGTCGAACACCTGGCGCGCAATGAATAATGCCATGCTGGAATAAAAAGAGATTTTTAGGGTTTTGGTTTATTTAAAAATCGAGAAAGATAGCTAATTCAATTTGTATTTTCACCAGTGCATTTGATCAACAATATTAAGTATTCAAATGTGAATTTGGTCCAAAATTAATATTGTCCAATATTTTAAATTTTACTATAGCTTTTATGATTTCCTATATACCTTGTAGGCTCTGATATTTATAAAAATTAATTAAAATATTCTAATGTGACTACTATTAATACAATAGCTCATTGGTTGAACTTATTTGTCTAGCAATGTATTTTACATGGAAAAGTTTAATCTATTTTATTCTAGAGGTAATTTGAGACTTGGTATAATATTGATCTAAGTATTTAATTAGATACTCCCATCCTTCAATCTTTATATATAGGGATAAATTTATTTTATGTGAACAATTATTTTATATGAGTGAATTTTATGCCATGAGAGATTTGTTGTAAGTTATAGATATTAATTTAATTATTTCAGTGAAACACTCCTATATATATAGAGTCATTGTAGTGACGACTATTTCGTGGTTACTTAGATGTCAGGACACTATTCAATCCGTAACTTATAGAAATTAATAAGTGACTTGTACTTTATTTGGCTTTGCTATCATGTGCACAAATATTTATGGGATCGATAGATAGCGTATTCTTGCAAATTGTACATCTTTAATTTAATGTTTCATTGTGACAATTTATAGTTTGGCAAGCAATAGCAACCATAACATCCAGCATGATGCAAAAGTTTTAAAAAGTTCGAAATTTTAGTGATTTTTATTGTCGGGAATTTTCAGGGTGTTACACCGTCGCAAGGCCCATCCATACTCCATTACGTCCACCCTTGCCCGGGTACGTTAGCTAGGAAAATCTACGCTACAAAGTGCAGCTGTTGCCCACGCTGGCTTGTGTAAGCGCGGTAATTCTATTCTTCCAGGGTTTCCCCCGAACCGGTCCTTAATTGCCATGGGTGCGACTAGCAAAACCATACACCCAGAGCTCGTTGTTAAGCCATATTTTAGTTAGATAATTACGACCAATAAAACATGACCATATGTCTCGAGCTCATAGCTCATCAAGATGCTAATGCATATAGTGTGATTATCCCATAATGTGAGCTAGTGGTAATTAAAAATGGCTAAGCATATAAAGATTCTAGCAAGATCAACATAAGTGACACAAGCTAGTCAAATTATCACCCAAGCTTGACAAAGGAGGGATCACAAGTAAACATGGAACACGCGAGGAAATAGGTAGTCCCATAATCCCATGTACTCCTAATTAGCAAAACGTGCAATTTTAGTTGCAAAGAGTAAAACATTTGTAAATTAGCAAGGAGGGCTACCGGTTTGAGGAAGAACTGGGGAGTGAAGCTCATTAGCTGCAAACTTGAGGGGGATCAATCAATAAAACATCACGCACCAACAGAAAAGAGAAGGTGAGAATTTCCCCCATACTACCACCACAACCACATCCTCTAGTAAATTAAACTTAAAACAATCCATCACCACTGTGTAGTTTTTCCCTAGCACCTTAGTTCAGCTTTTAATAGAAAAGAAGGAGCGGTAGCAGGCTAGCAGCAGATAAAATGGAGGAGGAAAGAATAGGAGCACTTACCTAGGGGATGATTGCTCGGTGAAGTCGAGCTCCATGGGGCGCTGGTCATGGCGTCTGGGTCTAGAGCTCCATGCGTGACCCTATTCTAGCCATGGGGGGGTCCACTTCTTGGAGCTGTGGGTTGGAGAGCATAGAGAGAAGGATTAAGAGGGGAGGTCTTGCTGGTAGCCTGGGCATTGAGGTCGCCGAGAGCAACATGGTGGTAGCAGCAGCAGTACTAGAGTAGTAGAGTGAGGATTTGAGGGAAAAGATATCCACTGCTAATGGCAAATGGAGGAAGGAAGAAGGGGATTAGCTAGCTGATGCTTTTACCTGCAGGAGTGATAAGAGGGGAGAGACGGGGAGAGGTTTCTGCAGGTGAGAGAATAGAGAAGAAAGGAAAATGTGGACTGATTGCTAGATGTACATTAGTAGGCTACACAGAACACCAACCTGAGCATAGTGACCCAATTCTGTAGTCCAAGTATAGTTTGATAAATTATCTAGCACATCACAACTGGAGTTTCGGTACAATAAAAAGGTTACAAATTTGTAAGCACATTTGTATTTGTAAATTATTGTATTTCTATTAGTATAGTTTAATTAAATCTCGACGCATTTGACGGAATACAACAAGGGAACTAGAGGCGGAGTCTGGTCAGTTGGGAGCGCCAGCTATTTTTGATTTGAACTACGAGAATTCAGGCAAGCGAACCTTTGATCTTGATGATTTGAATTATTTTGCATAAACCTTATTTTGCTTCATGAAACTGTCACCTTGCATAAAATAGATTTACCAAACTATAAGTCGGATATATAAGGATGATGATAGATACTGGGAGGGGCAGTTGATGGAGAAACTGATCACCTTCGGACCTTCCAACACTTATTAGGGTGTCCACAGATGGGGATTGACTGGAAACGGGACCCTTTACATATGGCTATAATATAAGGACTAAAATCACTCTCACATGCATATGTGTGCTGTATAAAAATCATGTCAACCATATCCTTGTTGCAAGGCGAGCAACGCTTTGTATCTTATCAAGTTCTTACACTCCGCATGGTGTGTAATGATAGATAGTGCTAAGATGGGAGACCCTATAAACCCCATAGAACATTAGTACTTGGATGGGAGATGATATAAACCCCATCAAGATAGTAGCACGTGGTGGAGTGGAGTGTAATGTGCTGAAATAAGAGAAGAGCATCTAGCTATCTATTAGTCCATTAAATTTTCTATAAACGCTTCTAAACCGCCACGTGGCGCTCCTACAAATGTTCTTATATCGCCACGTGGCAGGTGGACCCAATATTTTATAAATCATTAAATTATACTAATTTTCACCACTACATCTTATCTCCAAGAATGAAAATCTGTACACGCTCCACTTTCCGTTCGCATATTTATCACGTAATATATTTGAAAAGAAAAACAGAACGTGCACATATATGTACATACTCTCCCTCCCTCCCTGTCTGACCCTCTTCCCTTCCGTCTCTTCTCCTAATTTCTACCTCTAACAACCATACATTATAAAAATTAATTATACATTAAACTTCCTACAAACGCTTTTAAACCGCCACGTAGCGCTCCTACAAACGCTCCTATATCGCCACGTGGTAGGTGGACCTAATATTTTATAAACCATTAAATTATACTAATTTTCACCATTACATCTTATCTCCAAGAAAGAAAATATGTACACGCTCCACTTTCTGTTCGCATATTCATCACGTAATATATTTGAAAAGAAAAATAGAACGTGCACATATATGTACGTACTCTCCCTCCCTCCCTGTCTGACCCTCTTCCCTTCCGTCTCTTCTCTCTCCTAATTTCTACCTCTAACAACCATACATTATAAAAATTAATTATATATTAAACTTCCTACAAACGCTTTTAAACCGCCACGTAGCGCTCCTACAAACGCTCCTATATCGCCACGTGGTAGGTGGACCTAATATTTTATAAACCATTAAATTATACTAATTTTCACCATTACATCTTATCTCCAAGAAAGAAAATATGTACACGCTCCACTTTCCGTTCGCATATTCATCACGTAATATATTTGAAAAGAAAAATAGAACGTGCACATATATGTACGTACTCTCCCTCCCTCCCTCTCTGACCTCCACCCTTCCGTCTCTTCTCTCTCCTATTTTCTACCTCTAACAACCATACATAGTATAAAAATTAATTAGTTAGCTAAATAATCTATTAGTACATATGTTTTTATATAAAAATTATAATATATATACCCTTAATTTTCGGTGACAAACCCAGAAAAAAATATTGGGACATCACTTGGATATATACCCTTTCTTTTCAATGTCAAACCAAGAAAAATATTATTATGACACTGCACATATAAATTATTTAATTATTAATTGATATTATTAATTAATATGGCATGAATTAGTTAAAATCGAATAATCTACCTTGAAGGTGAATGTAGTTACGCCACTATATATTTTGTATAGCAACCAAATAGCAATAAGATATTATAGAAATGAACATATATTTTGACATCTGGAACCATTCGACAAACATGAACCATGAATAAATTTTCATATAAAAGAATAATTTATCTAGCGGCCACAAAGAAACATTAAAGAGTAAATTGCATCGTCGGTACACGAACTTGTCAGGTGGGTGCAATATAGTGCACAAACTTGTAAAATGTTCGTTTTGGTGCATGAACTTGCGTGGTGCGTGCGGGAGAAGTCAAAAAGGACACTATATGACTAATCCTATTGATTTAGGGGCTGATTAGGATGCTATGTAAACATATATATATATATATATATATATATGAGAAGGTTGCCACTAGACTTACACCTATTCAATAAAATATAGAATAGGATTTAGTGATAGTAGAAAAAGATTTAAAATATCGAGCACTGATATAAGGGTTAGAAACATATAAAATTCATCATTTCAATGATGAAGGATAAAGTAGAGACTAAATTTATAAATATTGCATGTCCTATGCATACTTGCTACAGGTATACACGTCGCATCCTAATCAACGTCAACTTCATAAAATTGACATTGCCAAGTTATTTTGGTCCTCATTCGCACGAACCAGACAAGTTCGTGTACTGAAACGAGCATTTTATAAGTTTATATACTAAATTGCACCCACCTAACAAGTTTGTGTACCACCAATGCAATTTACTCAACATTAAAATAAATGAACATGTATTATGTAATCTTAAATCAGTGATTCCACAAAATTTCATAGCGAAATTAGATCGACGGTATTAGGATAAGAATTTATAAACTCACTGGCTAAAGGAGTAATTTATCTAGGGACCACACTATTACACTTTGCATATAATCCAAATTACCGTACAAAATTGTAAAACAATTTAACAATATATGTTGCTTCATCATACATTAATTACTTTGTAAGCACGCATAGAAAAATTGGATATATAATATGTAGGTGAAAAAGAACTAACTTAACTTTGACTAACATAACAATTATGAAAAAAATATTTTACCTTTAGTCAGATGCAACAATATCCAAATAATTATGTCTTTTGAAATATGCACAATTGATAAGACAAATTAAATCAGTTGATCCTTTACATAAGCGCTCTAAAATATAATATATGGTGCCATTTAATGGACTTACAGGTCCTTTTAACAACCAGATGAATATTGCTTTGGCTTCCATACCTTCTATATATAAAGATAATTTTGTCTATTTTATATGCGTAGGCTATTGAAAATGTGAATACTCCTATAATAAGTAGTAGTAGAGAAGAAGAAGTTATGTTTGTTATTCGTACACATGCATAACCAACTTTAAAATCCATTTAGATTTTATAACATACTTATTATAAACACGCTATACTGACAACTCAGACAAAATTGCAGCCATGGAACACATATAATGATTAACTTATTTCGATTTTCTATGTACCAAGAAAAATCAAGGTATATCAAATGTTAGCAAACTATGATACGCATATATTTATATGTATTGTTTCACATAGGGAATATCAATAATCTATGTACCATGATAATTTTAAGCCACTTTGTCAGTTCTACATATTGGCAATAAGAAAAAGGTGGTGTACGAGATCGAAAGTGGATAGGTAGAAAGCAAAAGGTTTAGACAAGTTCAGACCCTCTTGACAAAGAGGTAATACCCCTACTCCTGTTTCGGCGATTGAATTCGTCGAGTGTTGTATTGATCTAACGATCTTGGCTGTGGTTATGCCTTCAAAACACCCCGTGTCCTTGTATAGGTTGGTGCAAGGTTAGAAGGGTAGAAACCTAACCGAATCCGGCATCGGTTTCCTTATATATTACATAACCGTATATGAGTAAGACTTATGAGACTTGCCGTAGGAAACAAGGCAATAATAAATCCCCAGTCCTAATTATTACATAATTCCTAGACTCGACCCACCTCCTATCTTCAATCGAATATCCAAGCGAGTGGGTATGTGGTATCCATAATATCCACACACTTATCCATTATTTTTCATTACACTATTACATAAATGTTTTTTTACATATGCGGCTAAAATGTTAAGCCGCTTGTATTGATGCCTTAGCTGCCTCAACCTCAGTGGCCACTTTTGCAAATAACATTTGTAGTTTACACGGGTGGAGAAACCTTTATTAGTTCCGGATGGTAACCCCCTTAGTCCCGGTTCTCAAACCGGAACTACCAATCCGGGACTAAAGATCGCTATCATTAGTCCTGGGTGGAATAACCGGGACTAAAGATCGATCTTTAGTTACCGGTACCAACCGAGACTAAAGATCGATCTACCTTTTTTTTTATTTGCATGGCCCTGTTGCTGCATGGTTTATATATATATATATATGTGTGTGTGTGTGTGTGTGTGTGTGTACACATATGTATATATATATATACATGTATATATATACATGTATATATAAATGTATGTATATATATATATATATTACATATATACATGAATAATATATATATGTATTTATACATATTTATATGTATGCAAATGCATATGGATATGTGTACAAAATAGACATATATGTATATATTAAAGCACTTAACATTTTATGTGCATATATGACCAAAATATATATTTACAGTAAAGTAAATGTGTACATATATAAATATAGACATGTATTACAATTCATTATGTCCTAGCTACGACTTCGACGTAGTCGTTATCTCAGAAGATAACGTCTTATGAATTGTAGATTTGTCGTAGTAGAATTCACCCTCGGGATTAAGGACTTGTTCTTTGATGAATCCCATGAGTTGTTCTTGAACCGCCGTGATAAAGTCCTTGTGTGTGAGGTTGTCCCTCATGTGAATAACCTATGAATGTATGAAGTTATATTAATTAGTAAACAAGAAATCGATACGTATGCAATGAAATTTTGAATGGTTTATTTA